GGGGGGGGGGGGGGGCATTCTCGGCGTGCTGATGTTGTTGTTGTAGCCTTCGCGTGTCGAAAATCATGAGGAAGGATGACAGGCCGTGTATCGTCGGCGATACCATGGCCGAAGTTTTTCCGAGTCAGTCAAAGACGAGCGCTACGGGTGTTTTACAAAACAGCAGAGAGAGAGGCATATCGTCATCGAAGGCGGTCAAGCCTTGGCGCCCCGTGTACGTCCACCGCGACTGCTGTTGCTGCTGCTAGTGCTGGTTATGTTCTGCGCGCATTTTTTGTCGCCGAGATAGTGGGGTCAGTCACAATGTGCACCCGCCGACCTTGCGGAAACAAAATTGCTTGCCCCTCTGTTGTAGGAAATTGAACAGCAGTTGGTCATCGATGACCCTGCAGAGATGAAGATAGAAATCCCGCTCTTTGCTTGCGATCGATTCCTGCGTCACCTTGCTTTCGGCGCACACGCACATGCCCGACATGCTCCCGAGCGTTTTGTTTTTGTTCCTGTACCGCGATGATATAATGTAGGCCACCGCGTAGCCAGGGTTCTGCTGTTGCACACCTGTGGGAATGTAATGGCTCTCTCTCTCTCTCTTGTCCGTACATCGACAAACATGGAGTTCAACTGCTCTCTCCGTCCCTGCTGGTGTTGATGTCAAGCACACACAAGCGAAAGAATTGTTAATATCTTAATCTTTCAGTCGTGTCTTTCGAACCGTTCCCAAGATTACAGATCTCCATTTCTGTGTTATTGCACGGTCACACAGCCGCGCAGGATCGATGCCACAGGCTTGGGCGTTTTTTGGACCCTTGATCAGAAGGCACTGGTCGCTTGTACGGGACCCCATTCCCGAGATACCTACATAAACGATACCTACATAACACGTGTTTTTGGGCAATGAGTTCCGCCTCTCACACCACACATGCAGGGAGGGTCCCGCGCATATGCCCGTCTCAACTCTATTCTCCATATACATCTACGAAAAAAAAATACAGACAACAAATAATCCTGATCCGGCACTTCACTTGTTTGTTGACTACGGGCTCTTTGTTGCATTCCCATTGAACGTAAGGACAACAAAAAACATGGAAAATGTTTCCACCGTTTTCCTGTCAGCACCCGCTTCCACCGTTTTGCTACCGCGCTCAGCGTTTTCCCGAAGGGTACAATCGCGCTACACGAGCACTAGTCATTGGGGTGGCAATAATGAAAAACGACTCCTCAACTATCAATGCTACTAGCGCTGGTATTGGATTCACTTGTTGTATGCTTACATTAGTGTCAGCGGCGACTTTGCTGAGGGAGCAAGTAGCCGGGTGACCCTCGATAGTCGGCGAGGAAATTAACGTACAAAACGTCTGTCTGTCCTGCGGGCAATAGTGGTGTAGTCGACGCACCGCTGCTGCTGATGGTGTCTGTAGCCGTGTTTGTGCGTCTCCTAGAGATAGGGTTGCGTGTGTTGGCGTTGGCTTTGCTCCATACGTGCTGCATGTCTTTGCCCCCGACAGCAATTATTTTGAGGTCTCCCAAAAACACGCAGCCCACTCATTCTTCTGTGTTCGTGTTGAATCTGTTCGTGTGCTCTGCGAGCAAGAACAACACGCCTGCCCTCGCAAAGCAGGAAAAAACGGTGAATATGAATAGTATCCTACTACAAGTAGTATTATAACTGCTACCTCGCACGATGATCATTCGTGAGTGATTTCGATCTTGGGTGGAGATGTGCGTGTATTCAGCTACACGGGCATTGCGACACTGCTGCTGTGCCAACATCTATTGGCAGTCACGTGCTTGTAGTAATGATGAGTGCCGACGACTCGGTCCGCATGCACTTTGCACTCCTTCTCCTGTTTGATGTTTTTTTTGTTGCTTCTGCTTACCCTATTATAGCTGTTGGCTGTGCTGCAGTGGTAGTTTGGATCAACAATCGGTCGGTGTGGCGAATGTTTACAAAACAAAGTGGAAGTTGCCTAGGATACACACTAAATACCGTTGACGGAGTACATGCCACCCACTCCCAAAATGCACGTGGTTTACATTTTTCCTCTTTGAATATTTGTTGTTGACATGCACGCGATGGATTCGCGCCCGCGGGGGACAAACAACGAAGAACCGGACGTGAAAACAATCCTGTACCTGCACCGCTGCAGCTGCTGCTGTCCCAATATGTGTAATTTTTTTTCTTGTGTCCCCTGTCTCACTCTCCACCTGTGCGTTGTCCACTTTTTCTTGTTTCTTTTGTTTCGTCTCAGGTTATTTTCGCTGTCGGTTGCGTGCACAGTCTTCCCCGAAATCAAGGAAATCGTATTACTTCACGTTGCATGCATAGAGTAGGATCGTTCTAATGGTTGATTCGGTGAGGTGCGGACTACCACGCATACATCTGTACCTTGATGCACATTTGTCCAACGTCAACAATTTTCATGGGCGTTCTTTTGACGTCTCTCTCGTCTTGGCGAAACAACGGCAACTAATTTTTCGACGACTAGCTTATAATTACGCCGAGAGACCGGACCACAGCGGTGTTCCACGTTCCACACCAGTATCTGCAAGTACGCGGGCACAGCCACTACCAACCACGGTTGTGCGGATATGCCAGAGATTAATTCGTTGTTGTATCAAGATACCTACTGCTGCCTCCTCTTTTTTTCTTTTTCCCTTCGTTTCCTTCTCCCGTTGATAATTTTTTGCTTTCAAGAAGTAAGCAATGCAGCCTACTGCTGGTACCTCTTGTTGACATCCCTCTCTTTGTAATGTGTCTTAATCCTTGGTGTTCTCCTCCCGTTTTCGTCAGGACGAGGAAGGGTCGTTTTACTCCCAGGACGAGGACAACGCCGACGGCGACGACGGTGCAGGGCAAGGCGGGGGAGGGTACGACAGCGCCGGGGTGAGTGCTCCGCCGGGTGACGCATATCGTGGCTTGCAGCTATCGTAGCTCGTGTTCGGGTTTCAGCGAGGGATACAGAGAGAGGAACAAACACTGCGAGTGTGGGGCGAGGGGGGAGGGGGGGCATGGTGACTTTACAAATCCAGTTTCTACGCGGAGAAAGCTCTTTTTGGGGGGGCGCGGGACACGACGGACTTCCCATGCATAAACTCTTGTCGCGTTGGGGAATTTTCTCCCTGTCTTTGTTTTCGTCCGTTTCGTCTTTCCTGTTTTTCGCCATCCGCTCCTGATACTGCAGTGCATGTTTGGTCTGTTTTGCCGCCCGCTACTATTTTGTGCAGACTTGCCTTGCCCGTCGCCTTGTCGTCTGTGGTATGTATGTAAGGATGCATGTTCGATCCGATCCTGCGTAGAGGCCAGGATACATGTAACGCGGAGGTGTGCAGCCGTTGTTGTTATGATGAACGGAGGCGGGGTTGCGCAACGCTATTAAACCGTAACCCAACCCCGCGACCCCTACAACAACCAAGGTTGATGTCCTCGCGAAGACTGCTGAACGCAGGGGTGTCGGTCGTGCCGTTGGTGCGGTTGTGCTTGTCTTGTCTGGAGTAGTGAGCGCGTGTCGAACCCGATTGATTGTGCGATACAGTGGTGTGTGTGCTGGAGGCACCAAGCGCTCGCTTGACGCACACCAGAGCAGTGCCAAGTGCACTTCTCGCTGTCTCACCGCGGTAGAATATTCTTAAAACCTTTTCTTTCGTTTTTCGTTTTTCTTTCCCCCTCCTCCGGCACGCGCACTCCTTTTTTTCTTTTGTGCAATAGGTTGTCTACGTAGCATTGGAACAAGTACTTTACACAGCTTGCCCGGAAACCTCTGCGTGCCATTCCGAGAAATACCCCCCCCCCCCTCCCCCCCGGTGTTTGCCAT